GATGAAAATTACAGGCCTCTCTCATCTTTTTAAGTGGGAAAGCTTGCACAATTGGTGGCTGCATAAATACTTTTTTGTCCCACTGTATATAGGTAAGAAAGTTATGGATGTTCTGTCCCAAGTTCATGGTAGCCTAAAATATTTGCTGCCTGAGGAAGTTGCCTCCTTCCACCCAGTTCAGGAGGTAGAATACCCAAAGAAGGATATCTGTAGTTATTTTGATACCCAAGGCAGAAAATTGGACAGGATCTCTCTTTGGCAGCAAAAATACAAGAAGAATCTTGTTGTAGTGTATTTTAATTACTAATTATTGCCCAGATCGCTTTGCAATAAGACAAATTTGAAATAGAAATAAAGGAGAAATGAAAAAAACTAATTTCTGCTGTTTTGTGACTTCCAAAATCATCTCCTTGAGGCAGATATTCCTTTTGTCTCACAGAAGGGCCCTTCCTTGCTCCTAGATCTGGATTTTTGACTTTGAGTACATTCATGCTTTGCAAGCATGCCATCTTGATATTTCTAGGTTATAGAGAATTGTAGTCAGATATAAATTCTGCAGTTTTTATGTTTGAGTTCTTAATAAACAAAAGTCTAGTTTTGTCACTGATGCCAGAAATGGCTTTTGGCCAGTTACCTGCAGTTATGGTTTCCTACTGAAAAGAATTTAACGTAGAAAGAAAGTAAATTGCCATAGTAAATGTTTAATTTGCTGTAAACTAAACTGGTTAGAAAATTGCTGCACATGGAATGGCATTACTTTTTAGGCAATATTTTGAAAGAAAATGATGGCTTCCACATTATAGAAAATACTTTATTGTTTTTCAAGAAGGATTGAAAAATCAGACACACTCCTTGACCCAACCACCAAAAACGTAATTAATTTTTTAATAAACTCAAGTTGTAGTAGATATGTACATTCAGTAATGTTTTGCAGATCTTTGTGCAAGATCTTTGTGTGAAGGGTGGATTTGCTTTCGGTGTAACTTGAAAAGGAAACTTTCCCCTTCAGGTGGGGTCTGTGTGTTTTGGAAAAGAATGCATGGTTCTCGTGCTTCCTCCTTCCTCCCTGCTTTTTTGTAATATTTGAAACCCAACTTTGCAGTGTAAAGTTAAAATGAAAACAGATCTGCATCCAGTATTAGAAACTTGATACAAAAATGGGCTAATAAAATACAACTGCTGTAAAAGGAAAACAATGCTCACAGAATGTATTCATTTCTTTTTGACAAAAATATTTATTTTAGCTTAACTATATAGGTTATAGAAAAGGATGGAATTCTGCAAAATGTGCTTAGGCAAAGAATATTCATGCATCTCTTGCATAATACTGGCACTATCTATGATCAGGGGAAAATAAATTAAAAATGGATTTGATGCAGCAAGTCCTTATTCCAGAGTTTTGAAAAGGAGCCAGGAAACAAAATAATAACATAAACGCAGTTGTTTCCTGTAGTCAAAAGAAAAAGATAGTTTTTTTTAAATGTATGAAATTGCTGTTCTTGTTTGTAAAGTCAGAACCTCAGGTTCACTATAAATAATCTATGCTGCTTGAGAAGTATTAATGAGGATAATTTGTGATTCAATATGCATTGTACAGCATGCATACAGGAGAAAAAACTTGCTTAAATTAACCCATTAAAATAACACAAGAGCTTATTGTAGAGCCATCTAGCATTTCAGCTATAGTCATGCTACTTGGAAGTGGTGAATATTGTAAAGGAACATTGTTTGGTCTTTGTATATCCTTCTGTTTTCCTCTTTCAGTGGGTGTGGGGGAAGGGGAAAGAAAAAGAATTAATTCCAACTGTTGGCAGCAAGGGACTAATGAGAAACTGCCTTTCTTTAAACAGATCTTGTAGATGTTGCGTCTGAGGAGCCACCTCTTAAAAATGAAGATGTAACGGTACAGTCCAATTACCTTTTTATGAACTGCTAAAACCAAATGAGATTCCTATGTCATCATACCTATATTGCACACTTTGCTCTGAGAGCAAAACACTTCACAAAATCCCAGATTGGCTGATGACAGCTAAGTAATGCTGCTTTCTGTACATGTTCCAGGATCAATTAAAAGTGTCTGAGATTAAAAAACAAACAAACAAACAGTCTTGCTGTCTGCCAATAATATAGTGAAGAAAACAGGTTTGCTTGATGCTCAGACCATGATAATTGTGACCAATCATTTATGGTAAGGAATCTCTACTGCACCAACCTCTAAGAATGGATGGTTTTCATGGCTGCAACAGTTTTCTGTGGGCATTTCAGTTTTTCATGTTATTACATAAAGCTAATGATACTTTGCTAATAAAAGTGTTAGATCTGCGGAAGACCTGAAGAAACAAAATTGTTTCACTTGGGTATTTGAACTCCCTTATATTTAATTGGATCACTGGCTTGGTGTAACCCAGATAGCATTGTGGGGTTTTAGCTGGAGATATTTCCTTACAAAATCTCTTGACTGGCAATGGCAAGACTTACATTTAAAATCTTCAGCATGGCAAAGCCTGCTTTTCCATTGAGCCCTGGAATTCCTTGCCTCTGATGTGCTTATAGGGATTTTACTGTGACCCCAGATATCAGAGATCTTAGGACATAATTCTGTTTCCACCTATTTTCTGATATGGAAATGGCTTGTAGGCATGATCCCAAGTCTCTGAATTATACCAGGAAATAGAAGGTAAGCAGTTGTTCGTAATATTTTACGATCTACATTGTCTACTTCTTGATTTTTTCAAAGCCGCTGGAAGTGTTCTTTCTTTATATGGTGCCTTTAAGAGCTGTGACAGCCAAAGCAGTTCTTGCTTCTCCTCCTTTTATGATAAGCTATCCTTTTTGTTGCTTTATTTACAGTATACATTTCTTAAATTTATACTGCGTTCCTGAAAAACTGGATGAGACCTTGACTTTTGAGACATTATAAAACCTCTGGTTTGTTATTTGAGAATATTGGGCAAGAGCTTGCTGTAAAAACAGATCTTCTGTTCTGAGTGGCTGATTTTGCTTGACAGTTTAGAAAAATTAATGTTATATTCTGAAATGAACCAGAGCAGCAAATGCTCTTGAAAAATATATTACATTTTGAAATTTTTCAACACAGTTTATTATAGATTACATACTGGAACATAGCATCATCATTCCCATTTGTTTTCTAGTTTTACCAAGAACATATAATTCATCCACTGGAAAATGAAGATGATAACGTATTGGATTTAGGTAAGAAATATCTTCAATTGTGTGCTTGTGTTTTTAAATCCCATATAAGAGTTATGGGGAAGGTTATAGGGTAGTGTAAAAATTCTGTAAAGGATACAAGGAGTGAAGCAGAAGAGGACTGTAGAAATGCCTTGTATATTTTACTTTGTCTTTTTTTAACTACCTTAAAATATTCTTATCTTGCTCTGAAGCTGTGGATTACAAACTACAGGTATTCCTTGATCACAACACTTGTTCAGCAGCTGTTCAGAGTTACAACAGTGCTGAACAAGGGGGACTTGTGACTGGTCCTCGGAGTTCCAGCCAGCACAGTGTCCCTGCAGTCACATGATCATGGTCTGGGTGCTTGGTGCCTGGCTCGAGATTACAATGTCACAGAGGGCTGTAGTCACATGATTGTGATTTCCAACATTCCCTGCTGGCTTCCCACAAGCAAAGTCAATGGGAAAGCCAGCAACCTTTAGAATTTATAGGCAGCATTACCTTCCATGTGATGTGGACTTCCAAGAGTTGCAGTACCAATATATCTGGAAGGTGCTAGGTTGAGGGAAAACTGATATTAAATGCAGAACTGAGTATTGCAATCCTTTTACATATTTCCTTTGAACAGTGAGCATATACCGGAAATAGAAACCATTGCCAAAGAAGTCATTTTTTAAAGTAAGGTGTAAATAGGTTCTAGATTATTAATTATAAGCAGAACTCTTTACTTGTTAAGATATCCTTCAACAGACAATATTTGTGGGGATTTCTATTATGAAACCAATTTGAAATATGACTGCTGGCATTAATTTCCACTTTGTACTTGGTGTATTTCTTCCTTTAAGTAACAATACAATTGTGGTTGTTTAAGGAATAAAGGAGCAGGTAATCATATCAGTGTGAAAAACATCACATACAGTATGTTTTAGTAATGGAAAGCATGTAGAACTTCTGGGTTTCATTCCGTTAGCTCTCACATGTATTTCTTTTCAGCCACTTTATATATTGATCTTTGCATTTTATACATTAATTTATACGGAGTAACAGTATACAAAGTAAATGCAGAAAATTGAAATGTGTATTGATTTGATCTCTTGCTTTTGAGCAATTGGCAAAACCAATTAATGGCTTGTGAAAGGCCAGCAAGGTCTGGGCAAGTCTAATCTCTGGGGGAATGATGTCCAGAGAGCAGGTGCCATGGCAGAAAAGGCTTTCTTCCTGGGCCCAATCAGATGGTACTCTCTCTTGGACAGGACCCAGAGCATGCCTCTCCTGCCAAATCTAACAGGACGGGTAGACACCACTGGGGAGAGATGCAACTTGGTCACCACTTTCTACACAAGCTGCAGCTTCTAGACCAAGTATAAGGGTAGCCCCACAAAGAACATATACGATACAATACAATACAAATACAAAATACTTTAATGACCAAGTATAAAATATATACAAGGAATTTGTCTTTGGTGATGAACAGCAAGATCAACAGTGCCATTTGGATAGCAACAGAAAAATAATAAACAATAACACTACGCAGTAAAATAACTTTTTCAAAGGGAGAAGCCACTGTCCAGCACATATCGAGTCATGTAGTGTTTAACAGAGCAATGGCACAAGGGAAAAAACTATTCCGATATCTAGATGTTTTAACATATGGTGCTCTTAGCGCCGTCCTGAAGGATAGCAACAGAAAAATAATAAACAATAACTCTCCGCAGTAAAATAACTTTTTCAAAGGGAGAAGCCACTGTCCAGCACATATCGAGTCATGTAGTGTTTAACAGAGCAATGGCACAAGGGAAAAAACTATTCCGATATCTAGATGTTTTAACATATGGTGCTCTTAGCGCCGTCCTGAAGGAAGAAGTTGGAACAGTATTACAGTAATCTAGCTATCATCTGATTAGCATGTGTATGTCCATAGTTAGGTGATCTCTGCTCAGAAAAGGACATAGCTGTTATACCAACTGAAACAGACAATCACCACTTGCTCCAAAACCCCAATAACTGCCCCTAGAAATTTCATATATGTGTCAAATAGCCTTGGAGTCAATATAGTTTGAGGGTTTTTCCTCACAGCTCAGTTAAAGTGCAATCCATCCATCCCCTGATCCATAGAAAACTATACCAATGGGAAAATTGCTGTTTCTATCCTGTCTTTACTTCCTTGCTGATAAATGGTAAAGTCCTTATCTTGTCTGTTGTTGCTTTGTTGCTGATGTCCTTTTCTGCACATCACAAGCCAGCTGGCTGAATCCACCCATCTAGAATAAGTTGTGGAGGTGGGGTTGGGTTTGATGCCATAGCTTGATGTCTTGTGGAGAATTATTATGCTTAGGGCAATCAGGTCTGGGCTGCAAACATATAGATGACCACTAGATGGCAGCAGAGAGATACAGAAAAGTTCAACTTGTGCATATTTTTGCAGCCCAGATATGTAACCCTAATTTAAATTTGCACAAGCACAAACACTCCACAGTTTCTAGTTCTGTGGGCGAGGACAGCTTTTGTCCAATATTCTTATAGCTTTTGTGCAATTCCTGATTCCAGCCTCACTTTTCCAGAATTCTTCCGTGTCAGGCTTTACAGCTCGCCTGTAGTACATGGCCAAGGAGGTGGCAGCCAGGGACAAACATTATTAAATGACTTGCTGGGGTGAATAATTCTGAAATGTTTAGAAATTAAGTGATACTGCGTGACAACTTAGTGTTATTCTAAAGGAATATTACAGGAAAAAATGAGTGCTATTCCTAATTTTTTTAGATATGAAAGTAAGGAAGGGGGAAAAGTGACAAGGGGGGAGGGCAGAATATAGTCTAAGTGAAGAAGACTAAGGAAAAGTAAGGAAGTTAAGGAATAATAGTTGGAGGAGATAAAGTGGTGAAAAGAGTATGATATGGAAAGAAATAAGAGAGAAGAGCAAGCCTTGGACCTTAATTAAGCAAGACACACATCTGAAGGTGACCCAAATGAAGTAGGGATTGATGGGGACAAAGAAAAATGGGCAAAAGTGGGCTTCTCTACCACTGCAATAGCTCAGGTAGAGCATTGCATTGAGTCAGTTTCCTAGGCAGTGGTTTATCTTATGTTAGCTCATTAAAAGGTAGCTGTTCAGAAAGTAAATTACATTCCAAGCTCTAGCCAAGTGTATCTATTTCTCCCTAGCCTCTCTGTTAAAAACATTACTCACAGCCTCTATTACTTCTTCACAGAATGATTATCTATATTTTCATGATGAAGAGAAGAGCTATAGCTAAGTGCAAATCATTGCCTTGTATCAGAAAGGTCCAGATTTCATCTCTGTCATTTCTAGCTAGGGCTCTACTCTTTGGAGTGTTTGCCAACCAGTGTAGCTGGTACTGCATGGTAAGATGGATCACGATCTGACTCTGTATAAAGCAGCTTCCCTAAGCTTCTATTCTAGATCATATGATCCTATTTCTACTACATTTGAAGGTATTGTTTATAAAAATATATTTGGTAAACTTGTACAAGTTGCTGTTATGGGACTAAACAGCAAAGGAACATGCAAGAAAAAATGAGAGATGGTGCACACATATTTACAATTACAACTTCTATTGCTGCTTCACCCACATTCCATAAAAATTCTCACGAAAACCCTACATTTAGCTTAATATTAAAATAAATTACAGGTAGAGTCAGACTGAGCTTCTGGTACCTCTGTGGCCACAATCATGAAATTTTCTTGGCAATAATATGGAAATAGTTTCCCATTGCCTTCTTCTGGGGAGTTTTTCAAATTTCCAGTCTAGTCTACAGCCCAAGTTCTTTAGTGACCTGCTGTCTAAGTACTAACCAGGCCTAACTTTGGTTAATTTTTTAGAATGTAGAAAAAGTTAGCCAGGTGCTACTACCTGTTAAGATAGTTTACATTAAAATAGCAGCAATACTTTAAAAAACTAAATGTTAATTCTTATTTTAAAATATTCCTAAGGCCAGTTTATACTATTTGAATATATGCTGGTCTATGACCGAAATAAAATTGATTGATTGACTGATATACTGTTTGAATGTGTGTGTAAGTTTTGTTGATAAAGTTGTATAGGTATCTTTCAACTTTGTTGTTGTTTTTTAGTCGTTAAGTCGTGTCCGACTCTTTGTGACCCCCATGAACCATATCGCGCCAGGCCTTCCTGTCCTTCACTACC